AGCCACGCATGCACGCACACACACGTTCATACACACACTGCACAATGCACGTGTGCACGCACTCACACGCCGGCCACACATGCACGCAGAAGCTCCAGCAGGCCCCCCCCCACAGCTCTCAGTGTGGAGTGGATGGCCACAGTGTCCCACCTTCCCTACGAAGATGCCACCCTGCAGCTGCAGAGGCTGGCAGCAGCCCGAGCATGGAGTGAGGGGACGGGAGGAGCAAGACGCTTATCTGCAGACTATTATTGGCAACCACACAGAAAGGCCAAAAATTATTGTTATCCTAGAAAAAGATTACACTTCATAAAACCCATGTTTATTCAAAAAATCTATTCAGAAAGTCTGGAAAGCGTAATAAATATCTGTATAGTGGCCGCCCATCTCAAACATAAAATACAAAGCGTGAACATAAGAATGACCTGTAAACACAGATGCGGGCTTGTAAACAAAGTGCTGAGTCGGGGTCTGGGTTGGAAGCGTGCTCCACAGGCGACCAGCGGTGGCGAGTTCGAGTCTCCCGGGTTTCCTCCCGAGCTCTGCGAACCCACGTCTTCTCTCCACCCAGGGACCTGCAGTGTCCTTTTCCATTCTAGAATTTTAAGGACTCTTGGAGAGGTGAAGGGCAACAAAACCATTTGGAAAGAAAAAAAGAGTGCAAATCAAGTTCGTCATGTGCTTGAGAGAATCAGTCAAGTGTGAGGCAACAGTCCCAAGGTGTGGCTTTAGGAGTAACACCATTGAATGAACAATACCGGCTAACGTTAAGTACTATTATCACTTAAAATGCTGGACAATCTTCCAGGCATCAAGACACACAAAGTTAGATTAAAATCATGGACAATCTGACCTAAGGATACAGGTGAAATCTCACTCTTGCCCAAATTTGACTTGGGGGCGGCATCTGGCAGAGCCCTCACTCTGGTGGGGTGAGTCGGTGTTCCTGTCAAACAGGGGGGCCTGCAGGTGGGGCGAGACCACAGTGGGCTCCCTGGGGGGACCGTGGGGCAGTGGGGGAGGAGGCCCAAGGACCAGGGCTCGGTTTTCTCACAAGAGTCTGTGGGCTATGATCCAGAGGGGGGATGGGTCCACGGTCTGTGGGGCTATGATCCGGGGGGTAGGGGGGACTGTTCCACGGTCTGTGGGGCTATGATCTGGGGGGGGACTGTTCCACGGTCTGTGGGGCTATGATCCTGGGGGGTGGGACTGTTTGCGGTCTGTGGGGCTATGATCCTGCGGGGTGGGACTGTTCCGCGGTCTGTGGGGCTATGATCCCGGGGGGGGGACTGTTCCGCGGTCTGTGGGGCTATGATCCCGGGGGGGAGACTGTTCCGCGGTCTATGGGGCTATGATCCTGGGGGGTGGGACTGTTCTGCGGTCTGTGGGGCTATGATCCTGGGGGGTGGGACTGTTCCGCGGTCTGTGGGGCTATGATCCTGGGGGGTGGGACTGTTCCGCGGTCTGTGGGGCTATGATCCGGGGAGGGGGACTGTTCCGCGGTCTGTGGGGCAGCCATCTGACTCCCTGTGGTCTGGCTGCCTGTGTGAAGCCCTGGAGCCGCTCAGGGCCGGCAGGGGTGCGCCCCACAGGGGACGCAAATGAGAAGTAACCCCTTCCTTCGCACCCCACTGCTGCTTAGAAGGCTCAGCCGCTGGCTGCTCCACTGGACCTCGGAGTTCGGTTTAAACTGTGGTATCGACGTCTCTAGGCTGACTTTGTGGAAGGGTTTCAAGTATCACCGCGCTCTGGATAAGGTGAGAAAGCAGAGGTATTTCACAGACATTCAAGTAGAGTTGGTTCAGCATGGTCTCTGCGGCCACTGCCGCACCCTGGCCTTGGCTAAGGGCACGACGTGGTGCAAGGTGAGCCCCAGGTCGCTCTGCGGCTCTCGGGGTGTGGCAGGTGGGGCTGTGTGCGTGGTGGCACCGAGAGAGTGCACGAGCAGGAGCCGTGGTGTGCAGGGAGCACCCGCTGTCCCCTCTCCCCGCCCGCTCCTGGGCTCCTGCCCCCTCTGGCCCACGTCCCTCCGTGCTCCGACTCACAGCGAGCAGCCTGGCCCCCGGGCGGCACACCTCGGCAGTGGGAACCCTGGAGCAGTGGCCTGGGCAGCAGACGGAAGGTGTGATGACCTTGGTGCCTTCCTAGGAGGGCAGACCCGGGACCTAAGGGCTATCCAGTTTCTCCTAAGCTTCTAATAATAGATCAAATAATTCAGACCTAAAACAGAACTATTGTGAACCAAGCCTTTGTGGCCTCGGGGAAAATAGGGGAGATGCCTAATGAGGCTTTGTGGGAAACAGGTTCAAGAACCTGCCCCCTCTCCCCCCCCCCCTGCTTTTATGTCTGGTGGTTCTCTGAGGGGGGAGAAAGGCTCACAGAATTATAAAAGCTTCTGAAATAAGGTTTCATTTTAAGGTCTGAACACAACTGGAGCAAGCTAAGGAGTTATACTCAGAATGCCGCATGTTGTTTTTTGTCTTTTTGAGGTGGTGTAGTTGGTTGAGATGGGGGATGAAGGGAACAGTGAAATATGTCTTCTTAGTGAGATCTGGCTGAGGGCCGCAGGTGCCCCACACCCAGCGAGGGCAGCGGGGAGTCTTGGGCCGGCCTGGGGGCACCCCCGGTGGGGCCGGTGGGAGGACACCGAAGGCCACACGCTCTCTCCCCTCCTGCCCAGGCAGTGGTGCCGAGCCTGTCCGGTTTCAGTTAACAAGAGGCGCACAGCCCCCTCCCTCGGCACCGCGCCCCTCCTGTGTGCACGCGCCCCAAGGGAAACATTAAATGTCACCGCAACATCAGGTGAAAACCAGAAACACAAATGCAACACAAAAGCACAGCTTCTACAAAGTGCATGGCTACCCTGGGTAACCCACCTTTCGGCTCCCCTCCGGGCCCCAGGGCGGCACCAGGGCCTCCTGTGCCCCCCTCCCGGCTGCATGGGACTGAGAGCACACCTTGAAGGAAGGGACAGAGCTCAGGGTTGCCAGGGCTCACGGATCTCCCGTGGACCGGAGAGGGGAAGGTGAACACAGCAAAACCACGGCTTTGGAAAGCACAGGAGGCTGACGGAAGGCCGCGGCCAGATGCCAGGCCCAACACGCTCTGGGAACCTGGGCGGCCTCGGCCACGGCTAGAGCCAGCGCGGGAGCGTGGAGCCTCAGCCCTGCAGCCCTGGCCGTGGCGGGAACAAGGACACAGGGCGGGGGGCACAAGCTCTCGCTGGCTCCTCCCCAGGGACGCACCATTCTTGTGAAAAGAGGCTCCCCGGGTGAGGATACCGCCTGCCGGTTCTGGGCTCTTCCCCCCGTGGGTCCGCGACCCAGAGAGAACACCCAGCACCTCAGTCAGGAAGAAGGGCGATGGGACAAGGGCTCTTTGGATCATTGGGAGGGGACCTGGCGTCTACTCTGGGTGCCATGTGCCGACCCTGTCCTTCTGGCAACCCCAGACCGCAGAGGCCAGCCCCGCCCGGGGAGGCTGTGCCGTAAGCTGGTCAGCGCGTCCGCCCACCCGAATCACTAGGACACGTGTGTCGGAAACCTGACCCAGTTACGGGCATTATCATTGGGAAAAACCCTCTCTCTGTAAATACAAGCCATGATCGTGAAAGACCTACGGAGTCCAAAGGAACCCTACAGGCATCGGGCGTGGTGGTGTGCAGTGAAATGAGTCTGTCTGGCTTTGCTCGGGGTAAGGAGGCGGCAAGGCTGGCACAGCAGGGCGTGGGGAGGTCACCGGGCTGGATCCAATCCCGCTGGCGAGCAGGCGTGCAACGAGCGGAGGGACCTGGGCCTCCGAGCCCGGCCTGGGCACCGCGGCAGCGCCCGACAGCCCAGGACGCTCGGCAGGGCCCGCTCGCGCTAGAGCCTCGTGGACGTGAGTCTCTTCATGCCCCTGCGCTGCGCCAGGCCGGACGACAGGACGGGCTCCAGCCGCGGCGCCTGCGGAGCCCTGTTCAGAGCCAGGTAGGTGGCGACCATGGCACCCTGGGGAAGGAAGGGAAAGGGCGCTGACCGCGGGGCCCACCCCCTCCCGAGCGGGGGCCTGGGCCTCTCCGAGCTGTCCTCTCCCACGCACAGCGGGGCCTGCAGGACCCCGGGGCCGGGCGTGTCCGGCACACTCTGGGTCCTCTAAATGATGGCGCTTCTGTTCTATTACCGTCCCACACCCGCCTGGGGTTGTGCGTGTGACCTGAGGTGTTTCAGACTCGCGGGGAGCCCCGGGATGAGGTCACACGACCCCTGCTCTCCGGCATGTTACCACACCAGCCGGATCTCAGGAGACGGGCTTTACCCTCCAAGGACTGACCCTTGTGGCCTCAGTCCTCCCCACGAAGCTCCAAGCAGCCTCTGCCAAGCACGCGAGGCAGAGGCTGCTCGTGCCCGGGGTGTGGACCCCAGTCCTCGGATGTCAGCCAGTCCGTGTGGACTGCACCGCAGTGTGGGTGCACCACGACCGAGCTGGCCCGAGGCCACCATCTGGCTGCAGTTGGGTCTGGTGACGCCTGGCTTTGGTGACTCTGATCACAGTCGCACCGCACGGTCGGACACAGCAAGGTGGGGTCGTGGGATGGCAGGGTCTACCGAGACCCAACAGTTGAATGAGCAGCTGCTCTGTAGCTGAGAACCTTTTGATCCCTGGGCACAAGACGATCTCAGTGACGCCAGCTGCGGCCTGACCTCTGTTCCCTCCGTAGCCCTGTGTCTCTGTCAGGGGCTCCAGGGGTCAGGATGCTCTCGTGGAAGCTGTGCAGCCAGGTCCCATGTGGCACGTGCCCTGGGAAGTGTCTCAGGAAAATGGGGTGCGCCCTCCGGCCCAGCCCAGCGCCCCCGCTCCCGGGGATCAACTTTTCCTATGGCCCAGCGGCACGCAGCCACTTGGAGGGCCTTTCTGGGCCACAACAGGAGATTTGAGGAGGAGCGACAGCGACAGCCGGCTCCAGAAGCCAACAATACTTACAGTCTGGGCCTCTACACAGAAGTCTGTGGACGTCTGCTCTAGAACCCAGGGCTTTGGCACCTTGAATTGGTGCAGATGCACCACTCCCTCCACCTCTCTCTCTCTCTCCCTCCCTCTCTCCACCCCTACCTGTCTGTCTGTCTGTCCGACTTTGTCTCCCTCCCTCCTTCCGTGTCTGTCTCTGTCCCACATGCACACACACAAACACAATGAAGCTGCTCAGGATTGTTAACAGAAGTTGTAACTTATTCAGAATTTTGTGTGTGATTGCTTGTATGTGAAGAAATGTGTAAAAGTAAATTAATTAGGGATACCTGTTTGTGCCTCTTACTGGTTCGCTATCTGGTTCCCATACTGTGGTTTCTTTAGGTTATTTTGAGGGGGATCAGGGCAACCTTCCTGGGCCCCCCACCCCCCAGCATCTTGCTCTCATGACTCCCTGTCCGCACCTTCACCAGGTGGACGTCTTGTCTGCTGAGCTGGTTTTGGGACAGGTACTCTCTGTTGACAATCCACGGGTGTTTTAGGACTTGAACGGCCGTCAGGCGCTGATGAGGATCCACATGGAGCATCTTGGACACGACATCCTATAAGGGAAGACAGCAGAAGCCGGTTCGAAGAGCCTCCTGTGCAAAATTCCTTCATTCCCTCTCACGGCAAAACCTCACCCTTGTTCTGACCGATTCTCTGCATTTGGGTGTCAAATGTTTATTTTCAGCCTTAAAAGTATGTGAATGATTTTTGAATTTTAATTATCATCACCTTGGTGGCTCACCTCAGGTTTATATCGTGTTAAAGATCTTACATGCAAGGAGAAATCAAATGTAGAAATGTTGAATGGTGCATGTAATTTACTGAACTGCTATTGTAGTAAAAATGATACCCTTCCAAAGGGAGAAGCTAGGTAACGACTGTCCCACAGACATAAACCAGTTATGACAATGCATATGTAGTGTCACTTTTCTTAGCACTGTCCCCAAACATTTGCTACAAATCAGCACCAGCCACAGAACTGTCCATCTGGAGCCATTACGTGGGTCCAAGGGGCCAATGTCCCCTAGGGGTGATTTTCTTATGTGACTGTGAGATAATCACAATAAAGATTCTTACGACTGTGGCTTAAAGACAAAGCTCCACTTAACATTCACACATGGCATGACACGCACATGCATGTGCACACACACACAATTACAACTGTGATGTGGATCTGCATGGCATTCATGAGGCCGTCTGCACATGCGTGATACACCTGTTCTTGAGAGAGTCATCGGGATCGTCCTTGGGGGAAAGAGGGCCAATATTACTGTCCCTGTTTTGCAGATGACATTTATAATGATCAAACAATTGTCCAAGGAAGAGCCATGATGAGAATCCGTGTTTTCCTGCTAGGCTGCTCACCTTACTCTGGTATTCCCGTGGCATTTCACAAGGAAATAAGGGAGTTAGCGTACGTACACGATATGATGATGATGCACTCAACAGAATTTCTGGTCATAAACCACAACAGAGAAATACTATAGACTAATCCAATATCCCTTTTTGAATAGAAAAATCAAATGCCTTTTAATATTTGGTAACACAGATCGTAGTAACTTCTTGAAACAAGTATCTCCTAGAAGCAGTATTGTTCCCATTTCCATGGGTAAGACTGAAAGCAGAGAGACCTGTATTGTTTGCTCAAGATCTCAGAGTAAAGCAGTGTTTCTATGCAGTGCCTGCAAGCTCCACTGTAACAACACACAAATCCATAGACTTTGTCTGATTTTGGAGAACTGGAGGTTTTGTTGCATGTTTGGGGAACACAGAGAGGGGAAAAGGCATGGGGCAGGTGAGGCAGAAGATATGGTGGTGAAGGGGCAGGAAGAAGTCGTCAAGGTCCCAGGAGGCAGTGAAGCCCTCTGCCTGCAGCAACAATCCTGGTACTTGACTTGATTGCTTTCCTGACACCTTCTCCCTGGCCCCCACTCCCGCTTCCAAGGTCGCCTCAGAAACCACCAGCACCCAAGTCCTGGTCTACTTTGGGGACCAGAACTAGACAATGCCTATACTCTTTTGAGACAGAGTGGATGGATGGGAGCACTGGGAGCGTCAGGGTCTGACACATGGGAAGTGCTTGCTAAAGGCCAGGTGCCTTCTCTTCTGCCATCACCTCTGCCGTGACCTCCATAATCACCTCTGCCACCTCCTTCACCATCCCCTCGGTCCTCTCTTCCATCATCTTCTCTACCGTCTCTTCCACATCTCCTCCACTATCATCTCTGTCATAACCTCCATCATCTTTTCCACTATCTTCTCTACCACTCCCTCCACCATCATCTCTATCATCTTTTCTCCACCGTTCCTTCCACCACCTCCTTGACCATGCCCTGTCACCTCCTCCATCATTTTCTCCGCCATCCCCTCCACCATCTTCTCTGCCATCTCCTCCACCATCTTCTCCACTATCACCTCCACCATGACCTCCATCATTACCTCCACCATCTTCTCTGCCATTCCCTCTGTCATCTCCTCCATCATTTCCCTCACTGTCTCTTCCATATCTCCTCCACAATCTTCTCCACCATCCCCTCTGCCATCTCCTCCACCATCTTTTCCACCAACACCTCCACCATGACCTCTGTTATCACTTTCACCACCATCTTCTCTGCCATCCCCTCCGTTATCTCCTCCAACATCTTCTCCATCATCACTTCCACCATCACCTGCATCATCTCTTCTACCATCACCTCCACCATCAC